ATTAAAATATAACCACCTAACCACATTTCTGAAGTTGTTCTGATATTATTTTTTTTACAAATGAATATTTGACAGTTATTGCATTTCTCTTCAGAGGTTCTTCTTTTTATTTAGGACAAAGCTATTAGTTTTCAAATATGAATTATTGAAAACATGTATGGGGTAGAAAATACAAGAGAAAGATAGCTGTCAACCAAATTGTTGCAGAGTTACAAAAAATTGAGGTAATTTTACAGGATCAGTGACAAGAACAGTACTAGATTTACTAGAAGATGTGGTTTATTAAATCCCTTAATTATGGGAAACTTATGTTAGTATTGATCATCTGAGAGAGAGGATTCCAACAATAAACTGGGGAAATGTCCAGCATCTTATGCCTTTCTGTCACATATTTTCATTGCATGATCCAGGAAAACAAATTATTTCAGGAACAAATAGCCAGAAGTTTGAAAACTTATGTTCTTGAATTAAGAAGTATAAATCTGATTCTGCACACAAGTTTTTGATTACAGTTGTCTGGACACATGGACTGAGTCAGGTAATTTGCTATATCTAATTTTGTGTATTACACTGAATGTACACCAGAGCTGGATCTTTGAAGTTCTTAATTTAATTAGAGTCTGGACAAGACAGGTGATGCATTAATCTGTTCTTGGACCACTGTTCCTGGACATTATGCCTAACAAGGATATCTAAATACAAGAGACAGTTTTCAGGTCACAGTTTGCTTCTCTTAAATAATCTCACACAGGTTATCCAGAACTACTTCTAATTGGAATACTGACTTGCCTGTTTCTTTCTTGTTTGTAAAAATGAACAGCTTGAGTTTGGCTGATGCTGGTACCATAACATTAACTACTCTAAAATGCTACTTAAATTTGCAATTGCTTGTAGAATCTTACTCTCATAGAATAGTTTTATTTTTTTATCTTTGTAATGGTTGTCTTGTTCCTTCTAGAGATCATTTTCCTTTGGCTTGCATCTTCCCTCTAAAATAATATTCCATCTTTCATAGCTGAACCTTGTAGTAGTGCTTATGAACTTTTATCCTGTCCTGGGCTGCATCCAAAGCAGTGTGGGCAGAAGGTTTAGGGAGGGGATTCTGCCCCTCTACCCTGCCTGAGACCCCACCTGCAGTGCTGCCTCCAGCTCTGGAGTTCCAAACACAAGAAAGACAGCAGGTCCAGGAGAGGCTGCCAAGATAATCAGGGAGCTGTAACACCTCTCCTGTGAAGGCAGCCTGAGAGAATCGGGTTTATCAGCCTGGAGAAGAGAAGACTCCAAGGAGATTTCTGCAGCCTTTCAGTATGTAAAGGCAGCTTATAAGGAAGAGAGAGAGAGACTTTTTACCTGTAGTGCTAGGGCAAGGGAGAATAGTTTTAAACTAAAAGAGGGCTGTTTCAGATTAGATTTTAGGAAGAAAATCTTTACTGGGGGGCTGGTCAGGCACTGGCACAGGTTTCCTAGAGAAGCTGTGGATGCCCTATCCCTGGAAGTGTTCAAGGCCTGGTTGGATGGAGCTCTGAGCAACTTTGCCTAGTGGAAGGTGTGCCTGCCCATGGCAGGGGTGCTGCACTAGATGATCTTTAAGGTCCTTTCAAACCCAAACCATTCCGTGATATTTTGTGCCTTTGTTAACTAACATGAACAGTAGCTTTTTTACTTTGTTTGTTGTGTTTGTTTGTTTGTTTGTTTTTTGTTTTGTTTTCTGTAGAGTGCCAAAGGTTCAGGTATAATAAATACCATCAGTGTTGATTTTTTTAAAAAAACAGAGCTATTTAGAAGTCCAGCATGTTCCCTTAACTGGTTGTACTTTGTGAACAAAAGCTTAAAAGGAGGTTTTCATTTGCACCCTGCATTGATTTTTGTCAGGTGTAAATTAATACTGAGTTCCACAGAGGCTAAGCAGAGCATATAATTATTCTTTAAGGGTTTTAATTTTCTAACTGATCTGCACTGAAGCCTTTATTTTTTTTTCTTTTTATACAGTACATATATTGCAGCTAAAGATCCTCAACATATATAAACATATGAGAAGGTCCACCTTCTCATTTCTGCTTGGTTTTACTTAATTCTCAGTTAATAGAATTTATTGACAAATATTCTGTTTATTTGTTTCTTAATTATTTTAGAAAACTGGAGGGATCAAATTTTGCAGGAATATAAAATAACCAACCTTATGTTTTCAAAGCCTTGGCTTTAAGGTTTGTGTTTTTCTCATGCTCTATTTTATATTGAACATATTTTGTGTTTATGTTTGATAAATACTAATTCTGTAACCAATTAAGCATAATATACTTCAGTTAGCGATGAAGGGCATACAAGAAAAAGCTAATTCCTTTTATAAACCAATTATTCCCTTCCAACTCAATTTTTCTAATTTTATAAAGAATGTAAAATATCTTTTATTTGTACTGTAAGAAAATAATTTCCAGGCTTATTTTCTTTGCGTAAAGCATCGCTCCAGGCACCTTAATCTATTCTTGACTAGGAAATCAAAAATCATCTCCTTTAAGATAATTTCTCTGAATCAAGCCATTAGCACAGTCCTTCTCCTTTTCCTTTGTTGGAGCTTTTGACTGCTGGGGAAGTGGCTGCAAAGCCTTTTTACTCAGACTTCTTGAGAGGAAAATCGTGCAGCTCTTTTTTTGGGGGGAATGCTTTACATTTCTGAATTGTCAGTTTTGGGATATATCTTTATTTGACAGACTTTTAGTCCTGTTTGTGGTTTTTTATGTGTATTAGTATCTGTAGTCATACAGAAATGGCAGTCTATAACTCACCTAATCTTTTACAATATAAATAAATGCATACTATGGTCAGCCAAAATTTGCCTTTAGAAGAGAACTGGAAGTTCCTCTTCTCCTAAATGCTTGTACCTGCAATACAAAGTACAAAGTGTACTTTACTTTGTCACTTGTAAGACTTGTAAAATAGAGTATGAGTTTGCCACGTATATTTAAATCAACAGAGAGCATCAAACCACATGATGTTACCAAGTAAGGAAAGTTACTCAGATTCAGACAGAGCAATCTTTAAATCTTCAAAATTCACTCCAGTGTTCATTAATGGAGAAATTCTGAGAAATTGTGCATTGGGAGACACAGCTTACATAAGACTTGTAGTGAAATTACCCCATTTGATGCCTCACAAACACCCTGATGAGATTTATGACCCATATGTTGAAATCATTATTGATCCATCTGTTGAACAGGCAGAAGTCAGTTCATGCACTCTTCCTACAAGTGGCTCCCACCATGAACTTCATTTCCAGAGGAAAAGCCAAGGTTCTGACTTTTGGTATTCTGAGATTCCTGACTATTCTTAACCATAAAACAGGCATTTGCAGTTTGCTTTTTCCTTCGTATTCTCCCTTAGGATGCCATGTCACCTCTGAAGATTTTTTGATAGTCCATTCTTTACATTAAGCTGTGTAGATGATGAAATATGGTTTTATTAAAGATCTGTGAAAATCAAGAGCACTAGAATTACTTATTAAAACATTTGGAACAGAAAGATGAGTTCCTGTATCTGCTAAATAAATTCATAGTCAGGCACGCTTTATTTATTTGGGCGAAACTGCTTGTTTTCCTACAAAAGTGAGGGCTGAACAGTTATTAAAGAAGATGCTGCTGGTGTTGAGCAATGTAGCAGCTTTGATCTGTGCTTTAAAACTTCTATTCATAGCAACTCTTTTCAGTCAAAGCCTGTATGCCTGCCTGCAGAAGCAGCCTATGTCATTAAAAAGTTATTCTTTTTGACAGAGGCAAACACAGAAAAAAGTTGAAATGTGAACTTGAGAGGAAAAAAAAAAAAAAAAAAAGGAAGTAGTTTTTAACCATACCTGAAGCTAAATTTCACTTCTTACTTAAATTTGGTCAGTTCTAGTCTCTGATAGACCTATTAGCAATTTTCTAGACTAAAGTTAAACTATTTGTGAGAAGACTAGAGTAGTTTTTCCTAGAGACACATCTATAAATATTTAGAAGCTATTTGTCAGAATAAAAATATATACATATGTACTTTGGATGTAAAAATCTGTAACTAACACTTTTCTTTAGGTAAAAATGCTAAGAGAGTTTCCTTGAATATAATACAAAGAATATTTTCTTAATGCTTGTAAAATATGAGTAAAGTAGAAAAAAATTGCAACCAAATATTTGATAAGCAAAAATACTATTTACTTAAGACATAAGTAGAAGAGGAGGGAAAAAAGCTGCTCCCTGTCATTTTCCAGAGACCACTAAAGTGTTCTTGCTCTCCAGAGAAACAGTGAATAGAACAGATAAGTCGTGTCACTACTGGCTTTGTGATCTGTAAATCACAGTCTGCAAACCATCAATTTCCTCTGTGTCAGACTCAGGGTTTGGTACATGTTTCATGTAGCCCTTTGTAGGCAGGTTTGTAAGGAAAACACACCACTGTTTTTCTTGTCTATAGCTTGATTATTTCCTAAGGTCACAGTTCCAGTGAGAAATGGGGGAAGCTGAAACACATGTATAAAAGTTCGGAGAGTGAATATAATTTCTCCATAGCAAAACAAGATACTATAAAGTCATAACATGAACAGCTTCTATAAGCTTCATAGGTCACCTCCCTTTGTCATAAAAGGGTTTGGCCAAAGAGCTTCTCATCCTCAAGAGGAAGTGTTCTTCCTGTTTTTTTAAGGGCCTGATATTGCCTAATGTTAAATATAATTAGCAGGTATTCTCTTCCTTAGAATTTCAGCTGAAACAGTTTCAGGAGAGGAGAAATTTACCAAGATGAAGGCTCAACAAACTCAAGGTTGAATACAAATGTTTTCAAACATTTCCATAATAAACTGATTTTTACTTTTCTTACTTTAGTTTTTTTATTTTACTGCTACTTAAAAAGTGATCACACTGTCACACTGCCATTGTCAACTGGAATTTCTCTGTGAACATGAAGACTTGGATAGAAATGTACAGCTTGTTTTACTAAACCAGTCAATAAACTTGTGTGTTACTCCATTTTTCCAGATGCTCCAACATTTGTGTCAAATCAAACCAGGTATTACTCTTGGGAAGGCAATCCCATCAATATAAGTTGTGAAGTGCTGGCAAATCCCTCTGCCTCAGTTCAGTGGAGAAGAGGAAAATTAGTTTTACCCATAAAAAATACAACACATCTGAAGACCTACAGTACAGGAAGAAAGCTGATTCTAGAGGTAAGGCTTAAAATGTAAATCAATGTGGTGATATAAAATAATTTTGTCATCAGTTTGGCACCATTGCAAGTAGGATAAAATTTGCAATTTAACAAGAAATGCTCTTTAAAAAGATAACAAAAAAAACCCAACAACTGTATATGAACTAATTTATCTCCATGTTTCTGATGAGCAGTTAGAAAATAAACCTTATTTACATGGCTTGTGAGCAGTTTTCCATTGGCACTGAACAAAAATGCAGCTTTGATTTCTTGGAAGTAAATAAATACGTAAATAAATATAAAACTAGCACATCAAGTTAATACAAAAAATTACACGGACTGCCTGGTAGGTATTTTGTATATACAAAGAGTTTATTAGATTCTTTTACTTGTTTAGAGGTGAAATTATAAAGATCAACAATGTCACTGTTTTCCATTGTTGGGTTTCCTCACTGGCATTTGAGAAGGGAGAGTTTAACATGGAAAAGGGTGTATTTAGATCTATATTTGGGAAATATACCAGATAGGCTGAAGTAAGAACACATCTGCATTTTGGTTGAGGAGAATATACTTACATTTATACCTGACTAGCAACTAATATTTACAAACTGTATTCATTTTAAAGATTGCTCCCACCTCTGACAGTGATTTTGGACGATATAATTGTACAGCCACAAACAGAATAGGAACAAGATATCAGGAGTATACACTTGATCAAGCTGGTAAGTTAAAATTTTGTTTCCTTCTCTTTAAATATTTTTTGTACTATTACCAAAATGAAGTTCAGGCACACTGTCCTCTCTTTCTTTTATTCCATGGACTGTTTGCAGTTAATTTAATTCTCTAAAAGTTGAGTTGCAATATAAAGTAAAATAAACCAGTTTGCTCAGAACATGAATCTTTTTTGGATTTAATTTTAAGGCCTTCAGAAATTTGAAAAAATTAAATTAGTCTAACTTTTTTTCCTTTGCCCTCACTACCTCCTACATTTATAACAGTGTATTTTCATTACTTCAGCAGAGAGACATATGGTTTGCAGGCAATAAAAGTAAGAAGGAACTAGGAAATTATTTTTTTTCCATTTTTCTCCCTGGTGTTTTCTTTACAAACCAAGGATGACAAAAGACTGAAATGCTTCAGCAGAGAATTTCTACTCTCATTTGCACTTTTAGTTATTTAAAAGAAGAATTTGAGCTGTAGTGTTAGATTGAATTAATTTAAGCTCTGAGATGTTCTACAGTTTATTCTTACAGAATTTCTGAATATCTTTAGGTCCTTCTATTGTTGTTTAGGCAAATATAAAATTCTCACTGCATGTTTGTTCTTCAGCAGAAGTAACTATAAACTGAGAACAAATGAGAGTTTCTTGGCTTCGTTTTCAATTTTATTTTCTTTTGGAATGGACTAACGTTTATTTAGCAGGCTTGGAGGTCTCCAAGCATTTGGATCTATGTACTTAATGATGCAAATTATGCCAGCTTTAATGACGTCTAGGGAGTTATAAAGCAGTTTAGTACTAAAGGAACAGCCACACTGAGATCTCTTACACCCCTTGGGATGTGTCATTATGGACCACTTTCATCACATAACTTTCAGGCCATACCGTAACACCAAACTGGCTGACCTGTATTGAAGGGGATAGGAAAAAATAAGGTCTTTTTTTTTTTTTTTTCCAGTAAGACATGTGTATTATTTATGATCTTGAATTCATTAATTGAATGTGGCTTTTAGTTTGTTTTTCTTCAATAAGAAAATAAACCCTTTGAAGCCCTACTAGAAAGAGGTTTGGAGGTGCTTTGCTGAAACATTCCCATCCACTCATAGCTCTCTTACTTGGCCTGGTAGTTTAATTTTTATAGTTTTGCTCCACAGGATGATTATGTTCTTTAGGTATCTCAGGTATTATAAAAACTAGTTGTTTATTAATAAACTACTTTGACTTCTTCCACAGCATTGAAAGATCTTCCCATTACCTCTATAGGATGGATTACTAGCACACACTCTTACTGTACTTTTTTGGGTTTTTTGCTTTGAAGAACCATCAGAAGTGTTGAGCTTCCTAAAACGAAAAATGTGGGGGTTTATTAAAAACATGGGGCGCAATTTCACATCATTCGTAATGTCCACTACTCTTCATTTACAACTTCTTTAGGGTCTTAACTATGCTGTGATCTTGCCTTCCCTTGACAGCTACATGCAGCTACTGAGAAAAAGAGTCTTTCCTGAAGCCATGAACATAAATGATAGGAAAGGGAAGGAAAATCCCCACTTGTATCCCTCTGGTGTCTTACCTCCCAGGAGAGATAAAAAAAAAGAAAAAAAACAGAGAAAATATTGTGATTGTTGCTATGTGCTGTTTTTCTCATAAATATGTATAACATGGGAGAGTATTTCAACAGATATAGTACAGAATATTGGGGTTTTTTTTGTAGATTTGCAGAACAGTATCCCATCACAATGAGTGGTGCTGCATGATGATCATTTTAGCTAGGTATATCTCCCTAAATTTTATAATTAATTAATTAACTTCAATACAAAGAATATAACATTGTCACCTGAAAAAGAACATGATATTTTGACATATTTCAGAAAACTCATACATGAGAGCCCCCGGACATGGAAAGAAAAAATAACTTCATAGAAACTATAAGCCTGGCTTGGCTTTTTAATACAATTGTATCAGAAATGTTACTGATGCCAGTCTTTCAAACAGCTTAATATTATCTACTTTTGCAATAGTTCTGTCAATATTTTTTTTCAGTCAGTTCCTCAGAAAACTTGATGAACACTTATAAAAATTATGTATTGGAGTCATAACAATAAAAAGGTAAATCAAGGTAAATAAAGAATTATGGGAAGATATTATATAAGTCATCAGCTATATATGGATACTCTATGATAATGATATTAAATACACAAAATGGGGGGGGAAAGAAGCTTTTTTCGTAATGATAATGAACAGGGCTGGAAACCCTGGGTTTGGGGGTGTCAGGGCTCCATTATACTACACTCTACTCACAGTAGTGTAATGCACAATATTCAGTATCCTGAAAGATTGACATTTAGAGCATTTGCATCTAAATAGACTTTGTTTTTGGAAAAAAAAATCCGACAAGTTCCGAGTTTTGCACTTAAACTGGTATCAGCTGAAAATAGAAAACAATCAGGGAGATGGAGGATAAAATAGTAAATACAGGTATAAAATGTCAAGTGCAGCTTTCTTTCTAGTTTTATTAACTCTGTTGCTTTACTTTGGTAGATTAGGAAGACCTAATGATTGATATTTTCATTATTAAAGCCTATAAAATCATTTCATGCATTTCAGTGCAGCCTGGATTGCCTTCTGGCTTTGATTGTAAATACAAATGCTGGGGCATAGCATACTTTTAAAAAGGCTCTGTTAGGGAAAAATAAATACTGTTCCTAGCTGGGAGTTGATATTAAGCAAAGTATGCTGCTGGGGTAAATTTTACCAAATAATGATCATTTTACTGCATGGTTTTCTCTTTAAATTCTGCAGGAATTACTTGTTCCTTTGTGTTTTGTTCCATTTTTTTTTGCTTTGCTGGATTCCAGAAGAATCAAGTTACCTCTCTTTTATTACTTTACTGCTACTTAAAAAGTGATCACACTGTCCCAATGCCATTATCTTTATTTCTGTAGCCTTCCTTAAGAAATTCGACTTATTGATGATTTAAAAAAGAAATGAGTTCTTTCAGAATTTAGATGCAATTTTCAGCCACACCATTTTGTATGACAGAAAAACCATAAATAAATCAGAGTACACAGAGCTACTGAATCACCCTGAATTCCATTTAAACCTTTCAAAACAACTGAAGAACTGCAGACTATTTGAGGTTTCACACTGAAAGGTGCTGACCATTAGTTGAAAGCTTAATCAGATGTGTTCTCCTGCCTCGTCATGATCAACTATTAAAAATACCACGTGGTTCATCTATTGCTGCTTATTCGTTGTTTAAGCATTTAAATTGTTATGTGAGTAACATGTAGAATGTGAAAAGAACCACAAGAATTTCTTGGCCTCTCAGTGTCTGAGGTGAGCACAAGTATTCCTAGACTTGTCCAGTTCTGGTTTAGTCATAGTTTATGTGAACTATCAGTATGGAGGAAGATGGTATAAGCTAGCAAAGCATTCTTCCTTTATGTTGGATCTCAGTATTATTTTAAATGGATTTTTGTACAGATGAGTAGAAAATCACATGGCCATCAGTATTCTAGGACTACATTATTGGAATAGGTAATTTAATATCTTAAAATGGTAAATCTTAAGGTCGTGACACAGAACTAAACTGGATTATTCAATGCATGTTTTGCACTTAGCAATGTATAGCTGGACTGGATCTAAAAGTTTGATTCACCTGCAAAGCTGTCATGGCCTTACTCATCCTAGACTTTCCTGTTCCCCTCTTCATTTTGGGGTTGCAAAGGGTTTAAAAATTCAGATAAATAGTCTGATTCCCCTTTCTACCCCAGTCTTTTCATCTGTGTACCTAGAGGGATACTATTATTTTTGATGAAAGTTGAAGTTCTGATCTCACCACGTCATGCCTTGAACTCCAGCAGCTATGTCTGCTATAGCTATATGATTTGTTTCCTTTCTAAACCAATGTTACATGGAATTAAAAAACAAACTTTCAATGATGTCATTAGATACTGAGAACTCCTACACCTCTTTATTTAATGATCTTTAGGCATCCTGTATACACAGAAAGTCAGTGAAGAGGGGCAATAATGACAACAAAAGCAAATTCCGACATGGGAAAGACAATAATTGAGCTTCACAGAAATTGTATCCTCTAACCTGTTTTACAGAATAAATTCATGCTCAAAACATGGTGAGGCTGATCAATAACTGACAAAGACCATAACATCAAATTTAGAAGTTTATTAGTCTGGAGTTTCAATGCTGACACTTTGTTGCTGGTTAATGGATGTTCCTTTCTCTTCTCCAAGTATTTGCATTTTCACACAGGCAAAATAAAATCAAAGTAGGACTTATTTTTCCCCAGGGAATAGTGTAATGAAAAAGATAATCATATTCTGCCAAAAGTCCATTCATCTCCACAAAAATATGGGCAGACCTAAAATCTAGCTCACTGTTCTAAAATTTGCCATTCATATCTTAGCAGCATCAACTAAAAGATTTTTAAAAAAACCAAACAAACAAAACACAAAAAACCAAACCAACCAAACAAACAAAAGCAAACAAAAAAAACCCCAAAACAAACAGAAAACCACTACATATTTTCATATCACCTAGATCTGAAACTATCAACATAGCAGCAGTGTTTTGCTTTGTGTGTATCCTATTTTAATTTATTTTTTATATATTAACTTGCTAGCTGTGGTCCTGGTTACTTAACTAAATCCTTATTTTTGCCAGAACTCTCAGTGACTCAGTAAAAGAAATCTATATAGATGTAATATTGAATTTTTTCTCCATTCCAAGGATGTACAAGCACAAGCTGTTTCATAGAGATTTTTGACTCCAAAGGTCTAGTCCCCAGCCTCATCTCTTTCCCTGGCAAGGTCCTGATGCTACTCACATTCAGCATTTAGACATGGTTATTTTGAGTCAGTATATATGCCAGATATACAGAGGCAGGAAAAGCTGCAGAGCTGCAGTAGGAACATCCTGACAGGAGGTAGGAGACGACCTAACTGGAAGATAAGTCTCTGAGCCCACTACCTACTCTCACAGCATCACTTCCTTCTCTCCATTTATATCAGGACTGCTAAACTCTCAGAAGGAAAGTTATTTTCTTCTATAAAACTATCACAAAAATAGCCTGAAAAGAAAATCCTCAGTGATACACAATGGTGATGTATTGAACAGGTTTGGTGACAATAGTAATAGATTTGAAAGACTGTTTACATATCAGTGGAGATAAATATGTACTCATAATTCTGTGTGTACTTCTTTAGCAGCTGTGATAATGTATTTGGAACCAAACTGATGCTACTTTTTCAGGCACAAAGTTCATTTGTGCAGACCAGAATTATATGCTGTGTACAAAACACATCAAGTGCAATTTTACAGTTATTAGGATTTTATTTATAAAATTTTTGATTTTATTTTTAAGGAATTGTTTGGCATCATATTTGAATACAGTCACATACTGAACAGAGGAACAGACACTGAGGAAAGAAGACAAAGTTGACTAAATGTCCGACACTTGAGGGTTTTTTTATGTCATACTTTATTTTAAAGGCTGAACTTGTGATGGATTATCCCTTCTTTTGACAGCAGTATAATGACAAAAAAACTGAGAGTGGAACTTCTGAGGAAGTATGCTAGAATCTTTGCTATCATTAAATGATCTTTAGAGCATAGAAAAGAAATCCCATACATTTTCTACTACATAGTCTTTCAACTTGTATCTCCACAACAGTATACAAAATGAGATCACTGTCCATAGCTAAACTCCTCTAAGATTTATTTGGTTAGTTGGGTTTAGAAGGAAAAAGAACAAGAAACATCCATAGCTATATTCTTCCAGATGCAGACTTCAAAGCACACAGCATTGCAAATTATTCTCCACTCCTACTAAACACCAAGCCAAAAGCCTTGCAGTTATGACATAGAAATCATGGCAATGCTCCAAGTAATTGCACCTGACAGGGGAAGGATCAAATGCTTGAATGTTTAGCTAGATCAAGACCAGAAGGCTGTATACCTTGCAAGATCAAATTCTTACTCGTCAGCGAACTACAGAATTAGATCCAGTTCGTTATGCTGCTATTGATCTTCTTTGGGGAAAAAAGTTACAGATTTGCTCGGTCTGAAGTAGGTATTTTCTTGTATCTTAATGGTATTGCTAGTATTTGGGTTTGGTTTTAACTAGGACTGTGTCTCCTGCTGTATTTTCTTCAGGTGATTCGCTCTTTTCCTTAGAACTGTCATAGTTCAACCCTGGAAACTGCATAAAAGTTACACCTGAGGGTGGCTTGGATTGTGGGATACACATTTAAAATAGTATTATGGATGTATTTTACACTTCAGTGAGTTCTAAACAGATTGCATTGTGCTAGTTATGCAAAATATTTTACTGGGTTTTCACAGGAGCTTCATTTTATGCTTATTACCAAAAGGAATCACATCTTCATTTGGCAGAAACTTATGTTCTCTACTGCTGGTTCAAATATAATTATTTGGCAGAAATTATATTTGAACCAGCAGTAGAGAACATAAGTTTCTTCCTGAAGAATGTCATCTTCCCTGTGCCATGCTTATTATAGTTAATCATGCACAGGCATTAGCACACGAGGAAAGGAGATCTTAACGTCGGAAAAGTCAAGAACAGAGTGGATATGGAAATAACACATTTTTGTTTCATACCATTGACCAAATATTTGGTTTGATGCAAACAGAAGTACCAGTGAATTGCCTTATTAAAATAGCATTCATTTAAAGAAAGATTCAAAACCCAGGTCTGTGTTTTCATGGATGCACAGCGGACTGATTACACCTTGTCATGTTCTATTTGATCATGAACCTTGAATCCCTTTCTGTAGAGTAATACAGCTCCACTAAGGATGAAAATTTCCTGCAGCATCTCATATCCTCATGAATGTTTCCTGGAACAAGAAAAGATTTGAGGGTTTGAACCCCTCAAGCTGAGATTTGCACTCTACTAAAATCTTTAATGTCATGGATTCACATAGTTGTGTCTTTAAGTAAAAGATAAAATAATTGTTCACTGTCATAAACAAATCTAGGCTGATTTTAACCCAATGACCACCAAGGATTGGAAGGTTCAGGAGACCTATAGACAGAAATGCTAACTATAACAATTCACAGAGGTATCATATCAACATTAAGATACTCAAGTCTGACAACTGTTAGAGATTTTTTCCAAAAATAATTTAAGTTTCTGATAATTGAAAGGTTATAAAACCTTCCAGCCCCTTTAGACCTGCTCTGGCAGGCATTCTTTTCCAGAGAACTTGTGGCTGAATATGTCCTTAAATCAGTTCTTTAATATTTTATAGAAATTTTTGTCTCATTTTCATTCAAGTACCAATACTGGGTGAAGCTCTGATTCTTCTTTTATTCCCAACTGTCTGACAGCCTTTGAATACAGACAATATTTCATGAAAATGGTTCATTACCCACAAACAAAATTATAGGCTTTGGCTCAAATTCTTGCATGTCCTTACAAAAGACTCTTACACAACATGGAGACAAAAGCAGTCTCAAATATGTAAGTGGTTATGCAGATAATCTTCAGATGGATCAGAAGGGAAATTTCTAATGGTGTTTCAGATCCCTGGTATTCTGTCCATGGGACTGAAATTCTTATTAGCATTTTTAAAAACATTTTCTGTAATTATAACACTTTAAAATGTAGGACAGTTAGAGAAGCTAGTCTTTTGTCTTCTAGGTGTCTGGTCAGACATTTTTAAAGCAATGTAACCTTTCTATTTTTAAAGCTGTGCTGACCCTGATGTCGTTTTGTTCTTTTGTTTCATCTCTCTCATTTTGACACCTACAAACACTTGCTCTATTTTCATAGTTCTTTTCTACTTTGAAGATACACATTTCCTTTTGATTTCAGGGAAAATGTTTCTTTCCATCTGTTTTGCAAATTAGTTCTTAAACTGCACAGATAATAGAAACCTTCCATTAATGTATTTTTCCAGTAGCTTGAAATCCAGTTTTTCAAAAGAAGAGAAAAATGATTCATGTTTTCAGCTGTATTTCAGAGTTACATAAAATGGCCAAATTATTTATACAGTTCTTTGTCATAATCTCATTTAGAAGAATTTAGACTCTGAATGATCTATTTAGTGTAACTGTTCCTTTTGTTAAATTTGATTTAAAGTTTGTTATTCTTTTTTATATAATTATTCAGTCAACAAACTGATCTCCTACATTTGACTGTGATGAAATTAGCAATTGAAAAAGATGATATTATAAAAGAAAGGCAAAAATGGAAAATGTTTTTGCATTACTTTGGCATACAAGGAAATGAATCTGGTTTTTTTACAGCTCTATATGGAAAACAAGTTGTTTATGTAATACAAACATTATTATCCCATAATCAATATTTATTTTTTGTCCCTTGAACATGCCAAGCAGACTTTTGGGGGTAGATTATCAACTGCTTAGGTCTCTGTAGTTGCTGCTGATTATTAAATTGGCATTTGTCCTTTTTTAGATGTGCCATCAAATCCATATGGAGTACGAGTTTTAGAGCTGTCCCAAACCACTGCCAAGGTTTCGTTCAATAAGCCAGACTCACATGGAGGTGTTCCCATTCATCACTACCAAGTGGATGTAAAAGAGGTGGCCTCAGAAACCTGGAAAATAGTTCGCTCCCATGGAGTTCAAAGTAAGTAGACGAAAAATAAACGGGAGTATTTTAACTAAAAAGAATGTTAGATGTACATTAACTGCTTCTTTGCTTGCCTTAATTCAGTAGCTGTATCTTAGTGAAGACCTCTTTGCACCAATTAGAAATCTTACAGTAATTTTGTAAAACTCAACTGTTACTTTTGCATTTTAAAAAAGTTTACAAATGTTTCACATTTTTCACTGTCCAGCCAAGTAGATATGAAGAATACTTTTGAAGCTGTAAGTTTAAGAGAGTAGAAATCAGTTAGTTTGGGAATGCGCATTATGCACACATGAAATGATTTTAAGTAAGCTCTTATGTAATATTTAATTCTAGGCATTCATTTCTGACCTTGAGCTACTTAGTAAACTTTCTACGTACCTGTTAATATTCATGTCTGTTTCAAAAGCATAACTCCAATGTTTGTTCAACAATTATTGTTCCCTCTAAACTAGCTGCACCTCTCTAGGCAGAAAAGAACATAAGCCTCCCCAAAGACACAAGTTCTTCAGGTACATGTCGAGGTGGGATGTTTATACAGAGCAGGGTTCACAAAATACATTCAAAAGATCAGTAAGCCCCTGCATCCAAATTTACCTTTTGGCATTTTTAGTGCAAGTTAAAGCAGCCCCAACATTCTTCTGATTTGTACAGCGTCAGGTGAATGGTTTTGAAGCTACCAGCATGGTCATGGAACCAAAAAATGTATCAAATTATCCATTATGAGTTATCTACTTCCCTTTCACATCTCATAATCCACAGACAAAAATTCTGGGTTTAACAGATCATGTTCCAAATTACAGAATTGTTTTAAAGGAACATATAATGAACATGTAGTTAACATGTATTCAATGAAACATGTAATGATTCCTTATCTTTTGTTTTCTCAACCTACACAGTAACTGTGTGTATAGACATAATACTGTATATCATAGTAACATACATTTTATTCTAGTCTAACTTTCCAGTATTTCTTTCAAAACTAGTAAATCTAAAGAAGACAGTTTGTTTCCTCTGTTTGCAGGGCAGCACAATAGTGGCTCTTTGTGTACTTCTTCCCTTCTTTTCATGTAATGTTTCAGACCAAGTTTGGGGCTTTTTTCTTGCAGCTTCCTTCAATGCATTGACAATAATTTTTTTTTCTGATATGAACAGTGTTAAGATCCGGTTATTAAAATTATTAGAAATTCCTCTTCCCTAATTAAGGTGCAAATGAGACCATATGCCAAAGTCAATAGTATGGATTTTATTTAACAGCAAATGTGAGGCAGAGAGAGAGAGAGAGATGGTTTTGTTCTTCTCTTCTTCTCAGTGGTGAGGGTCCCACAAAACACAGGCACCCCAGGCACCTCCCCTGGTGGGGGCGGTGAAGATTTTCATGCTTTTGAGAGAGGCTTCCTTGTTTGCTTCTCAGACCTGAGATAATTAGACAGTAGTCTTATCTGAATTTCCCCTCACAGTCCAAATTTCAGTCAGGAGGCATCTTTGGGAGGAGGAGAGTTTCAGTGGTCCCAGACAGGCAGTTGCTTCCTTGCAGTTTGACAAAAAGGTTTTCTATGATTTTGAAAATGTTTAAGATATTGACAGCATTTCAGTCTAACACAAACTGTAATATATGAAATATTGAAACCTGAACTAACCAGTCCGTGTGGTAGTGTGCAATGTACTCAACCAAGTGCAAACCCAGCGACTACAGAGTCAGTCACACAGATGCTTAATTAAATTGTAAAGCCAGAACAAAATGAAAGTCCTCAGTGTTAAATTTGTACAAAAGTGTATTTTTCTTGCTCCATAAAACTTTCCTATTATTTTGGTTGATGCGAATTTTATGAAAATATGAATTGGTTACTCTGGGAAAGGTGTAATTTGAAAGACCCTTGTTGCTGTTAGAGTTGACTGGAGCTGCCTTTTTCAAAAGATCACACTTTGATTTTGAAACATCCCTTCAGCATTACACATTTATAAGCTGTTGCATACAGGCAATTTGGAGATTTCCATATAAACTAATTGATCTTGGAGTTATTTTAGTCCAAAACTTGCTTGAATTCTATGGTGATCTATTCTAAAATCAGAGTAGAGTGACAGGTACAAACACCTGCTGTCCCTATGCTGACATTACCACCGTGAAGTAGGCTGTGAATATTGAGGATCTCTGCTGCCATTCCTACTGATATTAAATACAAAACTTCTTTGATAAAAAGGCTTTATTAATTCCCACTTGCTGTCATGTTATTTCTCCACATCTTCCTTTTGTACAAGTTGCCTGATTAGTTAATTTGTCTTCTCGCTTGAAAGTTTTCAGGGTATATACCATTTTGCAAGCATGTATTTTCCTTTTTTTGTCCCTCAGCTGTATGCTGAAAGGTTTTTTTGAGAAAATAAAATAGGTCACATTGATTTTGGACATATTAAAGATACCTCTTAATGGTAGGTATTATCAAAGACTACTACAATTGATGACAAATCTAATAAATAAAAAAACAACCTGAAAGACCATCTTGGTCTACAAAGAGTTATGTAACAAACAGATAAATAGTGAGAGGACAATGGGTGATATTAAAAATTAATACTAGATTAATACTTAATTCAGGATGTTTTCTGAAATCTCTATTGGTATACTCCTGAATAGAAAGATTGAAATTGGTATATGTCCTATATTTCTCTAAATTTCTCTCTGAACTATTTTAGAAACCAAAAAGTACTGGGGACTGAAAAATATTTGCTAAATAGGAAAAATCTTGGTTTTGTAAATCTCGTTGATGCCACGCTATGTAATTTGATTGGGAAGCCAAAAGGGACCTGGTTGCATTTATTATAAGTTCTTGCAGACATTCTATAATAAGTTAAACCTTGTTCTATTTGTGAGGTACTTTAGGGCCAAACCAGAAAAATAAGGTATGTTACCAAAACACAGACTGAACAATCTGGAACAGAAAGAGTCTTTGCAAGAGGAGATGCCAAAAAACGATATTAGTGTCTTTTTAAAAAAAGAAAATGCTGCTGAATTTAACTGGAATCTCTTAGAATATTTTCTAAATCATCTTTTTAAACTTTTCTCCATTTATGTTCTAGCCTACTTACAATGTCATGGTAAGAAAGCCTTGAGACATTCTTTCCAAAATCCCTATTTTCAGTTCCTGCAAGAATTTTTCAAAGAAGATTTTATTAGTATGAAGTTGGGTTTTTTTTCTTTATACTTTTTGAGATATTTAGGATACTTTTAAGTATTCTGAATGATAATAAATGTTTTTGATACAGCTTCTCATTCTGCTTAAGTAAGTGAGAACCACTTTCCTACCATACCTCAACATCTTCTTAGCTGAGTGAGGAGGATGTTTAGAATGCAGTCAATTTTCTGTATTATGACTTGTAGCTGGGTCATCGTAATTTCCATACTCGGTCAATATTTCTTAATGGAAACAAACCCACTTTTTCCATCTGTTCACATTTTAGGGACAGGTTTATGGCTAAGATTCAGATATAAATGCTGTTTAGACAGGGACAGTTAACTGCTTGCACATCTCAAGTGATGATGCATACATAATGTATTGGTCATGATTTTTTTCCCAGCAGCCAGTGATAAAATATTGAGAAATTTTACAGGATTTTTTTATCAATCTGATTGAACTTAGGAGTGGTAAAACTGCAGACCTTTCTTGCCACAGGGTACATAATGTGCAAATTCCAAAAATGTTGTTCAAGGGAAAGAGAAAAACCTACATGCAAGAACAAGTTTGTACCTGGAAGACTGTTAGAATTCCAATACAGATATTTTCAAGACTAAACTGGATCTTCAGCTCCCTCTATACTATGACCTAAAGGAATAATGTAGTCACACAGAACAGCCATAAACTGATAAAATTAATGAAAAATGCATTTTCAGCTGAAACAAACATCATGGAAATGTACCTACAGAAGTAAATTTATGAGAAAAACATTAACAAATGATTAATAGATGTTTCAAAAAGTTTTTGAAAGGAATTGCTTTAATGCCAACAAGTCATTAATTTTCATCTGATTATGACACAATAGCTACATATAAATACTTTTACAAGTAAGATTATAATTATTTTATTTATATGCAAAACACAATATATGTTTACCAAAGTTTTTAGGCATTCTTGTGTAATCAATCATCCAATAAATACAAAGAAATTTAATCAGGACAATTAAGCAGTATGAAATGGATTATATGCAAATCTGTTCAAACATCCTGCCATTCTCTTCATTTCCTGTTTTCTACAAAGTATCCCTCTAAAGGTGACTTTTGTCTCAAACTTTACTAGATTGAGTTGTTTTCAGATCAAATTAAGGAGAAATTCCCAGTCTTGGAGCTGTAGTCAAGAATATCTATTTCCCCATTCCCTCCCCTTTGTCTTTTATAATGAAGAACATTTCATTTGAAAGTCTGTGCTGATTGCAGCTATTGAAGGGGAGCACAGAAAGTGAAGCAATCATCCTGATGCACCAGTTTCAAACCATTAAGGAATCTGAAGTCTTAATCAACACTATCGTAGGTCACCAAGTGAGGAAATGACACTAGATTTTTCTGCCCTTGGTAGGTGATCTTCTGAATAGGAACGTTGTTTTGTTACAGACTGCCTGCAAATCTCGGTGTAGCTTCACTTTACTTACTCCCTGTGGACCGGAGTCCTGGGAGGAGCTGGATATGCATGGACAGATCAGAAAATTGTGACCCTGTCAGTAGTGCAAAAAACCCTGCTAATCCTGAAGTAACAGATGTGCAAGGTTCATTCTCCAAGGAGAGTTTGCATTCTTTTATCCTGAGAGCTGGTAAATCTCTGAGTGTGGGATGTCACCCACCCACCCTCAGGGAGGGGATAGCCACTGGTGAAGAGTACGTGCCAGGATTTCTTCTGCAGACGCAAAGGAACCAGTGAGAAGGTCTAAGATACCTGTGCTGGGCAAAATTGCCTTACCCCAACCTTCTGTGCAATTTTATTTTTTAAGGAAGGGACCTTGAGTGATCTGTTTTT